CAAGTATATCTTGTTTTTGCACTGCTTACAACAGCATTGTATAGCCATCCCATGACACACTAAATAATTTGTAAATATAGCTACCAGACTAGCTACACAAGGCCAGGGTAAAGGGCGGAGGGAAATGTTATCTCACACAAAATGTGAACTGTTAACCAAGGGCCATGTTTCAGCCCGAGCAGACCTCCACCGCAGCCTTTACATGATCCCCTCCAAACCGTACTACCACTTGATAGAAAAAAAAATATATATATATAAACACACCCCACCACATACGGTACGGAGAGTCAGGTATAAGCACAATACCCAAGCATAACCCTGGGGCCACTCACTACTAAAACTGGACGGCTCACCACGTTATATTGTCTTCAAAGTACAGACATGTTACCGTTGATTGGGTCAACAAATATACCAATACACTTCAAGAGGGCCGCCCTCGCGGCAGCTCCCCAACCAGGATCGAAGCGATACACTCCGACCCCACGGTTCCCCTTATGGGAACCTTGCCATAATTCTGGCATTTATGTTTAAGATTGTATATAAGTTCGAACTCTGCAAGACAGAGGATTCAGTAACCTTCAATTGTACTGTTATAATGCCCCCCCCCCCCCCAATTACCCTCCCTACCTCAGGGCCTAGTGGGCAGCCCAGACACATTACCTAACTTCTACACCTCAGAATGGCATGAGCTCCTCCCACCGAAGAGGGACTTTGGGATGACATGCCTTACACTTAACCTAAGGGACACAGCAATAGAGATCCGCCCGGCTCGAAACAGCTGGGGAGGGCAGAGACTCACGATAGAACAATACAAAATAAGTAAGAGCAACACTTTCCCATATATACCACCATAAAGTTTTACAGCCATAATGTGAGAGGACTCAACCTCCCAGTACAAAGGCACCTCCTGGGGAGGGACATTGGGAAACTAGATGCAGACATAGTGTGTCTACAGGAAACGCACTTCAGAGGCAATACCCACCCCAGCATTTTGACCAAGGTAGATATGTCATCGTAGTAGGGAACATAAATAATGTCTTATACACAATAGCTAACGTATATGCCCCCAACACCAATCAGAGGAATTTTATACACAAAATAATCTCCAGAATATCCAATATCCAACAAGGCACGACAATAATATGTGGGGACTTAAACCATGTTCTTAACCCGGCCTTGGACACCACTCTCTCTCAAAATAGCCCAAGATACAGACCACTTAAGCGGCAAAGCGCAACACTAGCGAAACTACTGGCCCTGCACCATTACTACGACGCATGGAGAGTCACACACGCAGAAGATAGGGAATACACCTATCACTCACAGGTCCATAACACCTACTCGAGAATAGACGCGTTCCTGGTGGAGGGAGGGACACTTGAGCAGATAGAGGACTGCAGAGTGGGACAGATAGCATGGTTTGACCACGCTCCTATGGAACTGACATTAAGGGATACTTATGATTTTAAACACAGGAGTCCATGGCGACTCAATGAAACCCTCCTGATGGACAAGTCCTTCTCGGAGAGTGTTTCCGACTCCTTACGACACTACTTTAAAGATAATGCCAACCCTGATCTACAACACCACACAATATGGCAGGCCCATATGGCGGTAACCCGGGGACTCCTTATAAAGAGAGCAGCATACCTAAAAAGGAAAACGCAGACGCAGATATTACAATGGCAGAAAGACATCTACACCCTGACATTACAGAACCAAGTCCACCCCACGAACCAATTGAAGGAACAAATATCAAAGGTGCGTCAACAACTCCGCCAAAATGCACTCAACAGAGTAGGATATACCTTAAGGAAGCTGAAAGCTACACACTACTCACAAGGGAATAGAGCGGGTAAACTGCTAGCTTCAAGGTTGAAAAAACGACAGCAAACACAGAAAATAGCATTTTTGCATTCAAAAACGGGGGGGAAGGTGGTGACACCTCTCGCAATTAGTAACGAATTTGCACACTACTACGGGGACCTATACAACCTTCAACAGGATCCTAACATACACTCCCCGACAGACACAGACATAATGAACTACTTAGACAAAATAACACTCCCGACCCTAACGACTCAACAACAAGAAACACTATCTAGGCAGGTTACCCCAGAGGAGTCACTACCAAAAGGCAAGACGGATTCGCCAATTCCTACTACAGGGCATTTAAAGACATCTTAGCACCCTATCTAGCAGAAGTATTCAATGAAGCCGTACGCACAGAAACTCTCCCAGGGGAGATGCAATTGGCCCATATTATCACCCTACCCAAGCCGGGCAAACCTCCGACCCAGCTGCAAAACTTCCGTCCTATATCCCTTCTTAACACGGACACTAAAATACTAGTCAAACTCTACGCATCAAGACTGGGTCCAATACTGCCACATATTATACATAATGATCAAGTGGGGTTTGTAACGGGGCGCCAGGGAGCAGATAACACCAGAAAAGTCCTAAACCTTATGCAAAGCCTAGGGACAACACAGGCAGGGGGGGTCTTGCTATCACTGGACGCGGAAAAGGCCTTCGATTGACTGGGATGGAGGTTTCTGGAGGCGGCCCTAAAGCGATACAGGATCCCGGGGAGTTTCATCTCGGTGGTGAGGGTGCTGTACTCAGCACCGAGGGCCCAGGTTTTAAACTCAGGATTCGTATCCAACAAAATAGAAATTACAAATGGGATGAGACAAGGGTGTCTGCTGTCCCCTCTACTGTACGTGCTGGCACTAGAGCCATTGGCTGCTACGATTAGGGACCACCCGGCGGTACACGGAGTCCGAGTGGGAGACGGGGAGTACACTCTCAGCCTCTTTGCGGACGACATACTCCTAACCCTGACGCAACCGCAAATATCCATACCCAACCTCCTACAGTGCATACAAGACTATAACAAAGTATCGTATTACAAACTTAACCTTACAAAAACACAGGCAATGGGAATCCACCTCCCGGGACGAACTCTCCAAACTCTGACGGAATCTGCACGTCAATGGGTAAACATAAGAGCAACATTGGCTTCCACAGTGAGACACGAACAGTGGGCCTTGGTTACTTTCCCACCAAAGACCCACTTCTTCATAAAAGTGTATCAATTAAACTGTTAATAGCTCCTGACTGATTCCTCTTCTGCAACTGTCATTAGTCTAATACTATCCTTACCTTTTTGTGTCATTTTACCCCACTCCTTCTAGCATGTAAACTCATTGAGCAGGGCCCTCAACCCCTCTGTTCCTGTGTGTCCAACTTGTCTGGTTACAACTACATGTCTGTTCGTCCACCCATTGTAAAGCACTGCGGAATTTGACGGCGCTCTATAAATATAATAATGTCACAAGCACTCCCTGCCACAATAGCAAGTATGGGATGTCACCCGACACTCCTCTCAACTCCCCTTAAAAGGTTTTATCTACTTTAATTCTGGATTTTAATTTTAGAATTTGGAATAGATGTGGAGTAAAACATATGTACCATTTACACGAAAAGAGTTAACTATCTGCATTTGATTACCCAAAAGACTGATAACACCTTGCCCAACACCACTCCACTCTTATTTGCAACCGTAATCATGGTGCACTGCCCACGTATCAGCATCACTTAAACAAGGGTCAATGACTATCACAAGCACAAATTAACCAAATTAAGACCCCTGGGCGAGGAAACATGTGAGGCATTGGCCATACACCAAAACAAAGCCAAGGACACAGGTACCAACCTTACCCACACAAGAGTTATCAGGGATCAGAGGTAACCTAGACATCCTTATGGCAAGATTCCAGACCTATCCTATAATCTACACCACAAGCGTATGTGGTGCTATATACCCTAGTACATGGATAGTCAACCTTCAGCACTCCAGATGTGGACTACATCCCTCAATGCTGGCAAAGCATCAAGAGCGGTGTAGTTCAAAACATCTGCAGTACTGAAGGTTGCCTATGCCTTCCATAGTAAAAGAAACCGTACAGCCAGTTAAGGTGGCCTTTGCAACCTTAACTCAGGTCTGAAAGGTTATGTAAAAAGCTGTTCTGAAACACCTGGTTATCCAATGCACCCTCACGAGAAGCAACCATAACTACTTGGCAATGTACAGCATGCAACAATGATTCTAAAATTTTATAAACAGAGCTATACATAGAACATGAGGTCTCACATTTAGACTGTGAGAATAGCTGCTTGCTCCAAGGAGATAGACTGCCATTTTGGGGTTAATGAGGATTTCTCCCCCCAGTTTGTTGCCAAGTTAGAAGAGCTTCAGACTGTTATTGGCCTTTTGTATCCACATCAAAAACATGTTAAGAAGGCTGAACTTTATAGCAACAAGTCCCTTTTCAGCAATGTAACCATGGACAAATGCCAAATCAGGACCACCAGCAAAAATACAAGATAAACCAACAACTAATATGAGGTAAAGCTTTAGCAAGCACAAATCCACCAAATAGATAAAGCAGACCTCCCCATCCCAGAACACTTCATTTCTTGCAGCCATTTATTATTGCTGATTAGGTTTCAAAATCGTTGACTAGGTACCCTCACTTAGAAAAGGGGAATCAACCGTAAGAGTGTTTCAGGAAGAATGTTGTTTAACAGCAGAAGTATTCATTTCCTAAACTATGTATTTCCATGCAATTTAACTAAATTATTTTTCCCAGGTGGCATTGGTACTGCCTTTACCCCCAGGCACTATTGCATACAGTTGCTGGTAGGACACAAACCTTAAAAGTCTATATCTGTATTTAATGTTTCTTTCCATAGCCCTCACAATTGTGGGGCTTTCCCATTGGATATGCATAACAAAATCTAAGACCACAGTGTTGCCCTGATTAGTGTTTTCTATTTAAAATTTGTTTGACAGAGTCAGCTTCTTACTTCTATTAAACTGCAGAACAAGTTAACTGAAATACCAATAAACCACCATAGGAAATGTACTTGTAATCTACAGTTTCACTTACTAGAGACAGGAAGCCACAGTGAGAGGCAAATTTATATCTGGTGGCCTATATTCCAACAGCAAATGTTGATTTATTAACTGTATGGGCCTTTGTAAGCTCCTTTTGGTCCATAGGTTATCTTGTTGCAACAAAACCAAGCGTTTTATTTAACTTTCCCATTTATTTCTTTTGGCAATGGAGCCACATTGTTAAAAAAAAAATGTCACAATGTCTTGTACTACAGTAGTTGCTCGTTTGAGCAACAGCTATAAAGTATGAGTGTTTTTTGTAAAATAAGAGTATACGCAAGCAACATTTCAGTTCATAACTATCTTGAAAACTACAGCAAGACTGTTGGCATATAAGTAAAGCCAATCCGTCCAATGTTATAAAAGGGGTGGGGGGAATTCAATGTAGATTACAGCACTCCAGAGAAGGGCAATGGGAACTTACAAATATACAGGTTTGTATCCAATATTTAAATGTTCCAGGTATATCCAGAGTTCACTCAGACAGAACAGGTAAAGAAAAACAATGAAAGGCAGTTATCTTTTTGCTCCAAATAGACATTAGCCAATAACATGGAGGTGGATGCAATAAAATTTTAAGAAGCTAGTTCAGATATTTTACAGTTCTAATTGTTTAAACTAAGCCAAAGATTTACAAATGTTACAAAATGCCCTTTTAATACAAACTCAGCTCATTTACATCGACTATGCAACTTCAGATTCATTGAGTGGCAATTCGCTATGAAAGGAATGCCCACTGCAGGGATAAAAGCCTGACTAAAAATACACATGCTGTGGAGGGAAAAAAAGTATCACAATCTACAGATAAAATTAAATGTGATAAAAAGGGAGAACATTTGAAGACAGTTGTAAATAAAAATAATGTAACCAGATGAGGTCCTTTAATTCAAAGACAGGCTGTCTAAGCACAAATCATTAACATTCTGCATTTACAGCAAAATACTACAGGATTCAATAAGGAATTTTTTTTTACAGTTGGTAAAACATTAATTTGACAAGTTCAGGACAGGGTCTCTTCTCGCACACTAAAAAAAACAAAAGAACAAACAAAAAGAAAGTCTGTATAAGTATAGTCAAGCAGTCACACATCTTCCATGAAATGACTTTGCATCCAGGTGGTAGCAGAACAAATTAAGTCTCCACTTTGGAATGTCCAAACAGAAGGCTCTGGCAAGGTTAGACTGGTTTGGGGAAGGAAACCCAAAGTCTCCTTTTGACTTCAGAGTCCTTTCATTTAAGGGAGATTGCTTAAGGTTTGAAGGGGAATCAAACTGTTTAATCATCAAACTTTATCTTCTTTCCTTGGTTTCCACCTCTGAATCCTCCACCTCCTCTACCTGAAAAGGATTAACATGATTATGCATTAAAAGAATTGTCAGGAATTCAAACTTTAAGACCAAAAAAATAAAAATGGATCCATAGCCAACAACTCTGCCAGATATACTTCCATGCTTGTGACTTACACAGCCTATGCGAAGCATGCACAGCAAGTCAGCATCTCTGAAGTGCAGACACACCGAACGACAATCCTTAGCTGGACTGCAACCACAAAGCGCTTCTAGTGGCTAGTGTGTAAGCCGCCAAGGGTCACAGTAGGAGACAATGTAACCAATGTTTTTTTTTTTTTTTTGAAAATGCAGAGGTGCTCTGCATGGCCATTGATCCTTTAGAAGAAAAGGGTAGCTTTTCAACTAAATTACAAACACTCCGTTATACACCTGTTTAACACTGGTGTACTACTTTTAACCAAAAAGTTTACTCAAACTAAAGGAGGTAGAAAAGATAAAGGTGGGCATTGCAAAACTACAATTAAGCTTACCTCCAAATCCTCCTCTTCCTCTACCACCAAATCCTCCACGGCCGCCACCACCTCTGCCGCCAAACCCACCACGACCGCCACCACCTCTGCCGCCAAAACCACCTCTTCCAAATCCTCCACGACCACCTCTCTGGCCTTCACCTTTGGGTTTTGCAAAATCTAGAGTGACTTTGCTTCCATCTATTTCACCATCCTCCATTGCATCTTTGGCAGCCTTTGCATCTTCAGCAGAAGAGAAGTCTACAAAGCCAAATCTATAACAAAATAAAACGCGTGATAAACATGAGTACTTTAGATTACTATGGAACACTTTATACTAATCCTTACAGTGGAAATTAATGTCACACAGTGGCCATTTGCACCTCGCACCTTACAGAGAGGACACATTTTGCCAGCAATATGTATTTCTATGCTTCTCTTGCGAAACCATTTACTACCATCAGATTTCGGTAGGATGGTGCTCAAAGAGAAGCTTTATTATCAGAGGGACACTCCAGGCTACTTTTAAATCTTGTTGAAGTTCATTATGTGTAAAGTGTCCCTATATTTTACAAAAAGTGCATATTTCATCAGAAATGGGCATTTAGATTTTATCCTTTTTACCCCCCCTCAACAATTCAAGTTGTTTAGCTCAGAGCACCTGCCTTGCAAATACTTTTCACTGATAAGTCTGCAGTAGGGAAGCCACAAAAAGTTGAGGCTGGGTTAAAAGGGAAGGGCTTGCAAAGGATTCAGGTAAATCAGCAACTTTTGCAGGCCACTCTCAGATGCAACCCCAATGGAGGGGGAAAACCGGTTCACTTGGGTGTCCCATTAAGAAAACCTAGCAAATAAACTAACCCCTTGGATGCTCCAGTGTCTCGATCGGTCACAATTCTTGCATTTATGGAGCCATCAAATGCTTCCTTTAAAGTTTCCTCCGTGGTGTCTTCAGAAAGGCCTTTGACAAAAAGGGTCTTTGTCTGTGCAGAAGCTTTAATACATTGGAAAACAAAGTTAATAGCTATACAAGCTCCATCCTAGTACAGACATTTGTACTTAATTGCTTCAAGTTTTTACTTCACACTATGATGAAGTAAGGTTGTGTTGCAACAGTTCTTTACACTGTTAAAAGAATTTACATTCGATGCAATTTTTAGTGTAGGTCAGTGGTTCCCAACACAGTCCTCAAGTACCAGTCAGGGATTACTCTGTTTAAGGGTTTGTTTTTGTTTTTTGAAAAGTTGAAAAAACAAAATGCATTAGATACAACAGGGTAGTACTTGGTGAGTGGGTTGGAACCCGTGGTCTAGGTTGTGGACCATTTGTTCTGCACTAAGACTTTAAGACTCATCCATACACATTTGCAACCAGATGAGGGTTGATTCTGGATTGTTCTAGCAACAGCTCTAATATATTGGACATTCACTAGCAGGGTGTGTATATAGCCACTTTGTTTAAAGTGTGCTGATAATTGTTTAAATGCTGTATATGTCTAAAAAGAGACCAGTATACTTTTCCAGCAAGGAATTAAACCATTCTGATTCAGTTCCCTTTTCACTTAAGGCACCATAGAGCCAGTCCTCCAGTTTTTGTTCATTGTATATCTACATAGATTCACCTAAGTGATCACCTACTTACCCCCCCCTCATTACCCACAAAGCCTTATTTATCTTTTATTGGTTCTTTCCATTTTATTTTGCATAGTCCTTGTATAATTGTATTCCATAAACTGATTCTTTAATTATCTCTTTATTATTTAAAGGGAACTCAGTGCTTTTTGGGTCTTTCACAGCCCAATAGACACTTCAGTTTCTCATTGCCTTATAGGGTTAACCTATAAGCTTAAATAGACTCAAAAACCCTACAAACTACATAATAGGCTGGATGTTACAATGGCCAAGTGAAACAAAATGACAAGGCTGGATCACTACAAGAGTGTTTTTCATCAAGAATGTCATATGGATACCTCTGCCACCACCTTGAGGGCCACCTCCGGTACTAAACTCAAGTCGAATAGTCCTTCCTTCAATTTCTGTATTGTTAAGGGATTCAATGGCATCTTTTGCTTCTTCCACAGTTGAAAATTCTATGAATGCAAAGCTAGAAAGAGGAAACAGATTCAGGGCACAGTCAATTTGTGGCATTTATATAATTGTACAAACCAAAATGATGAACTCTGAATAATGAAACGGCCTTGGTCCGTTTGTTTTGTCTGATAGACTCATTGTGAAATTCAGACAATTGCAGATTTCCCATTACATGGATAAATTGAGATTTATTTTACTCTGAATGCAAACAAACCACACACCACTTGCAAGAGAATATTGAAAACGCATCCCATCTTACAAAAAGTTGAATACTAAAAATGCATATAACCTCATGAAACCAAAACCTGTAGTTTTAGAGACACTATGTTTAAGTGCAAAATTACACTTTACATAAGTGAGACTAATCATAATCACAGGTCAAAAGTTCACTGTTTGACACCCAAAGACAAAGTCATTGAGTGTAAATTGAAGTAGTTTGTCATGGCATTGAATGTAGGAGGGGATACCAACCCTTTAGGTCTTCCCTGATTGTTCTGTGGTATCCTAATTGATGTTGCTTTCTCAAAGACTTCCTGTAAACTGTCTTCTGTAGCACTGTAGGCAAGATTGTTCACAACAAGGGTTTTGGAATCTCCTATAAAAAAAAAAAAAAAAACACAAACAAATAAGTGTTTGCTCATGCAACCTGTTGACGCATTCAAGAAACCACTTTACTTTGTAAATGCAACCAAGAAACAGCAAGAGTGCTGGATCAGAACTTGACTATCTTAAATATTAGTGTTAACATCAGTGTTTGTCAGATATTTCAGTCATCATTTCCAGCTTTAATACACTGAGTTGGTGGAATCTTAATTTTGGCACATGCCTTATGTTGTAAACACACTAAAGAAATATGTATTTGTTCACACAATGCTGTCAGGTACTTTAAAACTACTACTAAAACATCCATAAACATACCTCCAGGGCCAGAAGATCGCCTTGCTCCACTGTTTTGACTCTTGTCTCCGGTGAAGTCCAAGAATATAGCTCTCCCATCAATCTCAGTTCCTTGCTTTTCTTCAAGAGCTTTATCTGCCTCTGCTTCACTGCCGAATTCTACATAAGCAATACTAAAAAAAAACCCACTTTTAGTCATCAATAAAACCATTTAAGATAGTGTTAACTGGGCTGAAAATAGCACTGAAATCCACTACACTTACATGTCAGACATGCAAATTAAGGGTAAAAATAAACTCACTGGACAACATTAAAGTTCATTCATAATGAAGTTTTCATGATTCATCATTTTCTTTTAGTTTTTAATAAATAAAAATTTAGCAAATGACAGTTCCGACCAGGTAAAGCCAGAAACACTTGCCAATAAGATATTGAATCATTGCTTCATACATACTTTCATGCGCAGAGGACAGTGTTAATATCTGACAGGGAGCCAAGACGGAGGCTCCTACTTGCAGGATAGGTGTGTATTTCTATTTTGTTTTTCACACCTTACAAATAAGCAAGACAATGTTCATACATGGGAAGGAACAGTTTCCCTTTAACATAAAAAAAAACTGGTTAACATTTAGTTGTGCTATAAAGTCACTAGGTATAGTTCTACTTAAAGTACAAAGTAACAGACTGCCATGTGATTCTGAAGGGACACTAGGCACCTAGACCACTTCAGCTCACTGAAGTGGTCTGGGTGCTGTGTCCCTATTGCACTTCGTGTAAAACATTGCAGCACTAAATCTGCCTCCAGTGTGGCCATCTACCAGTCAGCCATTAGAGGCCTTCCGGAATCCAAAATAGATTTTTGGTCGGTTATCAGACACTGGACGTCCTCACGCTCTAGCTGATGTCAGCAGGGCAGGAGCCTGACAGCACCAAGGGACATCAGTGCTGGATTTAGGTAAGTGGCTGAAAGTTTTATCCCCTTCAGCCCCACGGGAGGGAGCCTATTAACCCAAAAGTGCCAGAAAACCAGATTTCCCCCCCTGGCACTATAGGATCCCTTTAATATACCAACTATAGTAAATACATACCCTTTGCTTGAACCATCATTCCCACTTGGAAGTCTAACTTCTTTTGCATTTTCAAATATTTCCTGCAGGTCCTCAGAAGTTGTGCTGTATGGAATATTCTTGACAAACAGCGTTCTTGAGTCTCTCTCTGCAAAAGAATGTACAAAATACACTTAACACTACAAATATCCAGGAGAGACTGGTTCATAGTCAGTTGTCCTTTTCATAGGAGTATGCCCTTTTAGAGTCAATTTCAGCCTACTTACAGATAGAGATGCAGGCATTTATAAAATCAACTTCTATAAAGCCCTTATTGCTCTGATATTTGTTTACTTTTCAGAACACCTCAAATTACATACCTTTTTTGACCTCTGCACTTTTATTCTTGTCAAAGGCCATGGCTTTATCCAGCTTCATATCAAAACCAAGAACTTTCTTCCCATTGAATTTTAAAGCCTTTTCCACCTCCTCTTCAGATGAGAATTCCACATATCCAAATTTCCTGGAAAAATACAGAATTAATTAGTTTCCAAACATAAACAAGCCAACAATATAAAGTACCACAGTTAACACTCACTTTGATGCACCAATGCGGACATCCTCAACAGTTAAGCTTTTCTTTGTGAAAAACACTCTAAGAGCCTCCTTTAATTCATCAAAGTCCTTAGCAGAGTTCAGATTTGCCACAAATACAGAGAGACCTGTAATAAAGAAAGAAAGCCACTGAGTGTTTTGACTACAAAAGTGAAATATGGTCTAGTGACATAATTTAAGGTACAGAGCAGGGTCCTGCTTATACACGACTTAAGATAGTGCCAGGAAAACCCACTTAAAAAAATAAGATCTGCTTAAACTATACAGCCTTGCCACCTAGCTGTGTCCATCTAATAGACTAGTTTGCGTACCTTCTGTTCCCTCAGTTTTCTGCTTTTTCTCTGGGACAGCCTTCTTCGGGATCTCTTTTTTACGTTTACCAGATTCTTTTACAGTTTCTGGAGGAGGATGAAATATATGACTTTAAAGTCAAATACACTTCAACAAGTACATTGAACGAAGCCAAAAAAATATTTTCCCACCATCATCATCTTCCTCATCGTCATCATCATCATCATCATCTTCGTCGTCATCATCGTCGTCGTCAGACTCTTCTTTTGCTTTGACAGGGGCAGCTTTCTTTCCTTTTGCAACAACTGGTGTTACTTCCATTTCTATATCTGAATCTTTGAAGGTAAAAAAAAAATCCAGTTACACACCACTAAGGCAAAGCTTGTAAGACAGAAAAAGCTATTTGAGAAGAGATGAAAAATAAAATTCAGCAGCAATTCAGTAAGACTTTCAACATTTCAGCCCGACTGTCCACAATGTTCATCTGTGCCAGCGAAACAAACCTCTAGAGTTTGTGTAGAATCCCCTTACCCTCTACTCCCTTATGCAATACCACAAAGCAGGTTTATGAATTCAGAGCTTGTAATGTACTTATGGCAAAAGGGAAGCAACAGTTTGATTGTAAGCTCACGGGCAGGACCCTCTACCTGTTGTATCGGTCTATTCTTATTGTGTTGACTTTGCCAATTGTACAGCGCTGCGGAATATGTTGGCGCTTTATAAATACATCTGTGATCCCCGTTAATGCAGGTTTCAGAAATAGTACCGATGTACACCTATGGCAGGCAATCTGAGATAGCCACAATACATATTATGGAGTCATTGTAAGTGGCAAAAAGCATATGTTCACCATTACTCAACAGGTGCACACGAGCCTCTTCAAGCAGCACTCACCATGTGGCAGTCAGAGAGATTATGTAGCTGAACATGTCTCATGGGCACCCCTTAAACAGTAGGACTGATGTACTAGTGTGCATGCGCCAGAGTAAAGCATTGAGATCTATAGGGGAATCACGCAAGACCCTGTATAGACAGCCAATTCCCTGCAGCTGTTACAGGCGACTAATATCTTGATTGAATCTTAGACTGCCTTGAGTCAGAGAGTAGAAATACAATCTAAACTTTGTCTCTTGACTGGGTGGGAATTTCAGTGACATTCCAACAGTCAAAATGAGTATTGCATATTCTAAAGATAGTCTTTATGAAATAAACACTTCTAGCACAATTGGCCAAAAAACCCAGATAGAGCCCACAATTCCATTTTGCTTGCACATTAGGAGGCCGTGCAGAATTTGGAGGTAAAGTGGCTACACATAACTGATGTCCATTATTGGCAACTATGGAAATGAAAGCAACATACACAAAGATTTTAATCTGACAGTTTCACCAGCATTGGGTATATATTAACTGCAATATGGCATATGTAACTCAAGGACAATTACCACCCATACAGTGAGTGACAGGCTCATTTAACTTTGACAGATTTTGTACCTTCCTCATCTTCTTCATCCTCAGATTCCTCTTTCTTTGCAGGCTTCTTTGCAACAGGCTTTGCAACTGGCTTTTTGGCAACTGGCTTTTTGGCACTGACCTCTTCCTCAGAGTCATCTAAAGAAATAGACATATTTGAACACACTGAAAAACTACACAACTATCTTACAATGCAATGTTTATTAAATAGCACATCAGTTTAAGTAACGCATCACATAATTCAGTATTAAGTCCCAAATTATCATCATATGTGCTGTTCCTTCATAAGAACATTAAATTCTTAAAAACACAATGCAACATTTACCATCATCCTCATCATCTTCGTCGTCATCATCGTCCTCTTCAGCTACAGGTGCTTTGGCTACAGGTTTCTTGGCAACCGGCTTCTGTTCCTCTTCGGATTCTTCATCTACAAAAAAATGCAGAGGTTTAGCACTGAACCTCTTAAAATTAGGAATTAAAAAACATAAATAAAAACCAAGAGCCATGACATACCAGATTCTTCATCCTCACTTTCCTGCTTCTTTGCCTGTTTGCCATTTTTTGTGCCTACTGGAGTAGCTTTTTTTCCTGGTGTGACTGCCACTTTAGCTGGAGTGGCAGCTTTCTTTGCTGGTGTTTGTTTAGCTGGAGTGGCTGCTTTCTTTGCAGGTGTTTTCTTCACGGGGACTTCAACCTGGAATAAGTTCTATAGTGACTACTGGTGGTATAGTAAACGTACACAGCCGCCAACTCTAGTACATTTATATACAGAATGGAAGAACATTGTTGACAGGAATGCAGTTATGTTAACCCTAGCAGAAGTTCCCCCTTTCAACAGGTTTCTTAGACCAGAAAGTATTAATTCCTCCAGCCACAATCAAAACACATTGGGATTAATTGGAAACAGCGCTAGAAGAGATAAGGCAGACTGTTTCATGTGCATTCACTCACATTGAAGCAAGTGTCAAGTACATCTTTGACCAAGTACGAGGAATACAGAGCTGTATTCCAGGCAATATAGCTGCCTTCCACCCCGGTAAATAAAAGGGTTAAAAGTCCTTTACTTACCTTACACAAGTGCCAGGGTCCCGCATGGCTCTGCCTCAGGAAGCCATGCGACGAATTGGCGCTCTCATGCACAGCGCGAGTTACCGGACTAAAGATCTGTTTGGATGCAGGAAGCACGCCTCTAACAGACAATTGAGGCAGATTTAGAGTTGCAGCGTAAACATTGCAGTTTCTCTGGACCCAGACCACATCAATAAGGTGAAATTACCTGGGTGCCTATAGTGTCCCTTGAAGGGAGACACGGCACTACACAATGTAAAACATTGCTGTTTCAGACAAACTACAATGTTTACGTTGCAATGTTAAGACTACCTCAAATAGTAGCCTCGAGACAGCCAAATATAGAGGTTCCTGGAGTTTCACAGCGATTGACTACATGTGATATGATGCTGGAAGTACTTTCCTACATGGAAGCCCTACTACACAAGCAGCGCTTGCCATGTGTTTGTTTACTCATATTAACGTGGCTGAGCTCAACTCCGCAACAAGGGACCTTGGTACTGGAATCAGGCAAGTGTTTAAAGGGTTTTATTAACCCTTTGATGGGGGATGCAATCATTTCAGTTCTTATGGATTAAATAGCATTAGGAATATTTATGTATTTCCAACAAGTTTTCATCAAAACAAAGCACATTTAGACTTTATTGCAATTATTTTAAATTCAAAAGGGACATTCTAGGTACCATACACTATGAGGTTGCAGGTGGAGACATAAGGTCCCCACACAAAAAGTGACAAGCCTACCAAAAAAAAAAATAATCTTCAGGCAACACTTTTGACTAGTGGATTTTACTGAAATGTTAACTCAGCCAAAGTAGAGACTAATTGGTCTCTAAATATCCTATGCCTTAGTCCGTCTAAATTGGCCGAGTCTATTGATGATCTGAAGTTCTCCTCAATGGTATATACTCTTGTGCAATGCTGTAGAGGACCTGCAGAAGATAACTGCTCTGTGAGAGTGGGTAAATCTAAAACTTGGGCAGCCAGGTGAATGATATTTGATTTGCTGAGATCTTCAAGTTTGATAATCTCAGCCAATTTCAACAGGTTTGTATTTCTGACACTATAGCGTTTACATTGCAGTGTAGTGTTTTGGTGCATAAATTCCCCTTTGTCGGCAAAGTCAAAATTTTGCCAAGAACACGCTTTAAGGGGTTGTAAATCAGGCCGAGAAGTCTTACCATAATCTTACAGATGAGCATTTAAATACTTCTGTATCAAGCAACAGACTAAGTACATCCACATCATGAGTCAGATCCCACATGCTTCTCTAAAAGCAGCGGATTGAAGATCAGTCATTATTACACCCATCAAGTAAATGCCCATCGTAAACCGTATCAAAAATATAGCGTGCCACAAGTGAATCAGTTACAGACAAGTCACAATGCAATTCTACTGTAAATTTAACTTTAGAGTATTGGTAGTGTACTCATAGTGTTAAATATTAATTGTCACCTAAGTTTTTTCTCAAGCACCATAGCCATCAAGTTGTTTTCACTGTTAAAGTAGCCCTTTAAATCATTAATTTAACCCACCTCCTCTTCACTGCTTTCTTCCATGTCCTCCTCTTCATCACTATCATCCACATCTTTTGGTGGTGGTGGAGCAGTCTTCTTTTGTTTATTTTGCATTTTTGCACCCTGGAAGGAAAAAGGTTACAAAAAATAAAATAAGTCAACATACTGATTAAATAACATTAAAGAATCGGTCTAAATTCTCCAGTAAACACGGGCAGGTGGTTGTACGATAATGTTACACAATGATTTAGTAAAAGCTGAATAATCGATACTCGGTATAAAGCATAGAAGCCGTGACACGTGTCTTGCCGGTATAGCCCGGTTTCAGATAGCCGGTGAGCCACGTGGAGCCCCAGGCACAACCACGTGTTGCTACCGTGCGCTGCCCTCCCCCCACGCGGGCGCTAGGAAGTGAAGGCCCGCGGGGATTCCCCCGAGCACAGCCGCCATTAATATCGCCATGTGGAGCAGCACAGGGACATAGAGCCATGCTATACCCGCATGGGAAGCGGCCATCGGCATTGTGTGCAGCCTCCACCCCCGCCATACTGTACAAGCCGCCATTAACCAGGCTCCCGCAACACGTGGGCCAGGGAATTAACCCCTCACAGCCCGGGCCTGCGGACACGTGACGCGCTGACATCACCAGAGGCCCACCGCACGCGCCCAGCCATGGATCGCGCATGTGCGTCCGCGCCTCGCAGCGCGACACGACGGCTTCACTGCACATAAACCGTACACCCCGCCGCCATTATCCCGAGACACCGCGTGCCCCGCCTGCAGCAGCCAGGCGCGGGACACGGGACGATGGATGGCACACCCATCTGCCCCGGGCCATGGCGGCTGGATTGGAAAAAAAAAATGCATAAAAATGGCTAAAACGGTTATTAATGGTATCAATTACAGCGAGCTGGGTGTAGGCCGGGCCGCACCAATCGTACAGCCGTATTATTACTAACAATGTCTGCCGATGCAGCGGCCCGCTTACCTTAGCTAGTTTCACCATGTCTGCGGTCGGTGTGATTCCGATGGATGGTAGTCTCACAGGTCAGAGCGATGCTACAGAGGACAGAAGAGGCCTGTGACAAGGAACCGACTGGACGGGAAGGCTTCAGCGAAGGCGCTAATAAAGACTCCTTACCACGTGCGATCCGACAACCAATCAGAGAGAAGACCTCCAGGTCCGGCTCCGCCTACAACAGCGTTAGCCAATGGCGGGCTGTGGTCATCGCCGACCAATCACCGATCAATAGTGTTGTGGAACGCAAGCGCACGGCCAACTGACGATCAGGATTCGTGTAAGCCAATTGGGAAGCGAGAGGGAAACTCCATCTTCCAATCAGAGCTCATCACGGAGCCTTCGTATCCATTTTGTGTAGCCCTGCCATGCGGCTGTGAATGTAGGGAAGATGGTGGCACAGTGCAGTGTTCCCACGTGGTTTGTGGCTCAGCTGGCTGTAGGATATTCTGTTCTACAACCGCGTTGTATTTTTTTCCCTTTTGATTTATGAACTTGGAAGTGGCATGTTATGCAACCACTTCCTACATTACAATTAAAGCTTAAATATGGATTTACTACATTATTATCGTCTTTAACGTTGGGAAGATGTATGTCCTTTAATCTTCTCAATATTAACTATAATGACATCTTGTAGAATGCAAACGGAAAGTCGTGAATAAGTTGCACTGGCGTGAGCAGTTTGATAGCAAAGTAATAATGGGTAAATTGTTTACACATATATTTATCATGGAACATATATCAGCGATTTGTTTATTAAGTAGTAAATTCATGCACAGAAAAAAAGACTTGTAAAAACTTACATTATTTACTAAGAACTTGATATTGGAATTGTAAAATGTAGCCTAAAATAGCCGAGTTAGATAATTTATTCAGAATCAGCTACCTAAATTGTGTAATTTAGATTTCTGTGTGCTGCAGTTCGAAGCTTAGTACATAACTGCAGTTTTTAGCATTATCAACTAAGCCCAGAATTATAGCAAATTAAATGCGAATAGTACTGTTTTTTTCAACTCCACTATTGTCACAACTTTGTTATTTAAAAGTCCAGACAATTAGCAGGGGTTCTGAGCTAAGTGAATAAGTAGCCACGTTGTATAAATAGAGTTAAATGTGTCTTATCTTAGAGTCTAAATTGTACGGTTTGGTGGTCTCTTAACAATCTGAAGTTTAGTTAAAGCACATGGCAAATCCTATAGGTATGTATATCTTCGCAAGTGTTTGTTCACTAAGCATGGTTTGTAGTAAACTGAATTGCAAAATATAGGGTTTATTAACTAAATTGTAGCAACCTAGAACACAAAACACTAATATAATTGATTTTTGAAACTTTTTCATTTTTCCAAGTCACAGTTTGGGAAGTTTATCCTACATGAGGTTTTCAAGTCACTACGAAAACTTTAGGGAATAACCCTGTGACGTTAAAATAGCCAAGTTATGATTATAGCTAAGTGAATATTTTTTTCAATTTACTGCAATTCATGTTTAAGGAGAAAAAAACACTTTGATTAGTTTGCTATGTATTTATGGTGCTGGCTCAGATGTCATGTTAAAGGGTTATGCCAAGCACCATGACCCCTTTAGTGATTTGAAGTGGTCATAATGCTTGAAGTAGGAGTCTATATGTGCAGTGTTTCAGTAAGAAAATCTCCACATACACAGATAATTAAAGGGTTACTCCAACCACCATGACCACTTAAGTGGTGGTGGAAGTATGTATGTGCTGAGTAATCTGCATTTGTGTGCTGGGGATAGTTATAACCTCAGCACATGTGACATTTTCAGCCCAGAAGTCTGTTCCAGGCTGCCAATGTCAATTTTGTGCATAAAAATGTTTGTCAGCATGCAGTGCTCCCTGGCAACAGACTCCTGCAAAGGGAAGCTAACTGTCCCTCCCCATGGGTCCTCCTGCTATTCAGGAGATGGGGAAATTTTTCCAACACTGGACCAGAACATGCGCTCTGAGCTGGTTTCTCTATGTTAAGGCTGTGATTAGCCCATCAAAGGCCCCTATGATGTTGGAGGGGGCATGGAATGCAGCGCTCGGAGCTTTGCGTTGTGCTGCATTCCAGGTAAGTTAAACTTCCTATTTTTTGCAGAATTTACTGCAAACCTTCTCCATAGGGCACATTACACAGGAAAGCTCTAATCCATTTAAAATGTTGGAGTAACCCTTTAACTTTGCTTCCATGGGTGTAAGTAATTAGCAGCCTGAAAAATTAGTTTCAGGCTGCTATTGCTAAATCTGTGCATAAAAGTCATCTGTCCTCAGCCCTCATAGCATGCTGGCATCCCCTCCCCTCTGCCATCCTAAGTATTCCCACAGGCCCGACATCCCTTTCCCAGCAGTAAGAAGTCTCTCTTTTCTTTGCCAACAAGATTTACTTAATTCAAAAACAGAGTGTTCTTAAAGACCCAAATTCTGGAATAAAAGGGAATCGTGACGGATTAGTTCCGTCATGTGTCCTTAGGGGGTTAAAAACATTTTTGGTTGTAACCCTTTAATACAGGGGTTTCCAACTCAGTCCTCAAGTACCCCCTACCAGTCCAAGATTTAGGGATTGCCCTGTTGTGTCTAAAGGTTTTTTTTTTTTTTTTTCTAAGAACACAGCCACAACTGGGCAAACCCTAAGTCCTGGATTGTTAGGGGGTTGGGAACCACTGCTTTAATAATTGGGGCAAGGAACTGATAGTGTTATTCAGTAAAGTAATAACTATTGGAAATTCAAAATTAATTTCAAGGTTAAGGTAAAAGTAGCTGAACAGGAAGCATAGCTGACTTGAAGAATTTTTGTTTCCAGTTTTGGTATTTTGGCCCTAAATTTGAAATTAACTTTGCATTTCTGACAATTCTCACTTTAGTGAGTAATCCTTATTATGTTCAACATAAACCCATGAAACAACACCCAGGGCCGATCCTGGGCGGGTGCACAGAGCCCAGGCGCTCTGTAGCTGCAGGGGCATTGCGGCGTCAGGCTACGCCCCTCGTGTGTGACCCTGCCCCTTGCGGATTGCGCCGCTCCCTGAATCAGTCTCTGCTTTGCTCACAACGCTCTTGGGATCACCAAGGAACATGATCCCTTTCTGGATTCCTCCTCCAAAGGTAAGCCTCAGGGGGGAGGGTGGTAGCACCTTAGCCCTAATATAGCCCTTTAACCCACTACTACAGCCCCTAAACTCCCTACTTCAGTTTGTTACCACTACAGCCCATAAACCCACTAATTAAGGCCACTAAACTACCCTACTACAGCCCCTAACCCACCCATACTACAGCCCCTTACCATTACAGTCCCTAAACCCATTACTACAGCCCCTTACTACTATAGTCCCTAACCACTACAGCACCTACACCCACTACTACACCCCTAACCCCCCTACTACAGCCCCTTACTCTCTACTGTAGCCTCTAACCAACCAATTTCTGCACTTAAGCCCCAATTGCAGCCCATATACACTAATACATCACATAAACCCCCAACTGCTGCGCCCATACCCTGCTATAGCCTCTTACCCCCAATTGTTGCCCCATACCCAACTACAGACCCTAACGCCCCAATTGCTGCCCCTATAGCCTACTACAGCCCTAACCCTGCCTCAATTGCTGTCCCTACACCCTAATACAGCCCCTAACCCAGGGCTCAACAAATCCCTTTTCTCCTGGGATACAACTGCCTGTTCAGTACAGAGGGAGAATGGAGGAGGCCAGTCACCTGTGGGAGTGCGGTGGCAGCCGGCAGTGCGGAATGAAGGCAGACGGCGATGGAGGGAGCTGTCATGTTCTGGCTATGCCCCCTCGCGCATGCTGCAGTGCTGCCGGGAGATGGAATAGGATGTCATTCTTGCCCCGGCATGCTAAACAGTGCACGAGAGGGAGCAGAGCAGGAACATGATTGCAGCCCCAAAGGACACCAGGAAAAGCCAATTAACTCCAGCTCTCCCAAAGGTATCGAGGCTGGGTGTATTTCAATAAAAATAATTTAAACATTAGAATTTCAGAGTGTGTGTATAATGTCTGTCAGGGTGTGTGTGTCTGTTTAGGTGACTAGCCCCCCTTTGATTGCATAGTAGAAGTGTGCGATTCGTTCTGAATATACATTCATAGAAATGTCATGTCATTTGGACATTCGAAAGCTTAACGAATGTCCGAAGTGCCGTAGTCCCGAAGTGACGAATTTCGGAAGCTCCTAAGTGCTGAAGTGATTCAGATTTCTAAAAAGTGGCAAAACAAGAGTGAGGGAGGGAAAATTACGTGAATTATGACAGGAATCTCTATCCCCCTCCATCCCCAGTGGATGCTGACACCACAGGGAGAGCACTATCTGGTGCTTCTCAGTGTGTCATAGCTTTGCTGTAACAGGGTGTGTGAAAGAACCTATCTGCAATCATGGAAGGTGCACTGCAGAGAGTGACCTCCAGCACCAAATCACTGGGGATTAAAAAGGATCCCTCCTCATTTCCTGGCCAAAGGGTGGCATAAATAGGTTTCTAACAAGTTTATTTTAGCAAACACCTACACACAGTATACACACACAACAATACAGACACTCACAAATATCTCACACAACACCACAGACAGTCCCCCACACATACAAAGCACAACAGATCTACCACACATTCAATACTACAGATACATATGCACTTAACATCACAAACAGCTAGGGCCGGCCTCTAGATGCCCTGTGCGAAACATCTCCGCAGCGCCCCCCTCTGTCCTGTCATCCATGTATTGTGTGTGTATAGAAGTGTAGTGATTGTATAGGGGATTTATTAAATTAATAATTATTTAAAAATAAATATTCATTACACACACAGAGTTACAGACAGTCTCACACACACACACAGTTACAGGCAAACAATTACAAACACACACACAGGTACAGATGGACAGTCATGTACATACAGCCACACATACAGTGTCACACCGTTACATGCAGAGAGCCACACACACGCGCAGAGAGCCACACACACAGGCAGACAGTCACAGATAGTTACCTCTGCCCATTATGGAGGTGGAAGTAGTGCAGCTCCTGGATTCTGGTTGTTGGGGAAGCAGGGACTCATTCCTGCTTCCCATGCAGCAGTTACCCGGCACTTCTAGCACCGCCCCCGCTGCAATGTTTTTTTTTGGTTTTTTTTTAAATGTTATCCCGGGTGGAGAATAATGAAATCCTCCACCCAGGTAGCCGGCAATGTGTGAGCTGTGTCGGCCGCAGGGCGCCCCCCTGCTCCATGGCGCCCTGTGCGGCCGCACAGCTCGCACACCCCTAAGGCCGGTCCTGCAGACAGTCCACATACACACAATATTTTACCCCATGCAAAATACCACAGCAAGCCCCCACCACACACACAAATACTACAAGTAATCCCCAAACACATATATAACAGGCCACATGTACACACAACCCATACCACACCCAGAAATATTACAAGCACCACACATACACACACCATCACAGACAGCACACACATACAAAACCTCACATTTCACACATATAAACACTCTACCACAAACAGGCCACATACATATCAAACATCACATACACTCCCCACTACACACTAAAGGACTTTAAAGTTTTACTTTGGCACTGCGCTACCAAAAGGTCCCGTTCTAAATTGATCTGCACCCAACCAGAGGTGCAGTGCCAGGCAGGGAGAACGGTCTCCGTCCCGTGCAGCTGCTGGGTGTTACAGCCAAACCAGTGCCATAATGCTAGTGCTGGCTCTCCTGTCTCAGTGGCGTCACAGGGAGGGAGCATAGAGGGCCATTGCACCCCCTGCATCATGCATTACTCCCCCTAAATTGAAATTGAAGTCGGGAGCACCTAGTCTCCCTTCACAAATCTATTTAGAAGGTAACTAACGTGGTCTTTTGAGGGTGATCTGCAACGGTTTACAAAAAGTAAGACAAAATACTAAAAAGAGGACTTTAGGTTTGGCTGCATTATAAAGATATGGGCTTAAGTATTCACCATCCATGAGTCAATAATAAGCCTGGGTAGGGAGGAAGGTGTAAGGATTCTGGTTTGTAGAAGCTCAACAAACATACAAACGGAATGAAACTGTACTGCAACATCATTTCCTGCATTACAGGTAATGTGTGACATTTCATTAGACACTATGAGAGTAAATGGGAAGGAGCCTCAAAAAAGTTTTAAAATAATGTGAATATGGTGGAGTAAGGTGACATGGGGTTGGTAATGTTACAACCAGTAAATAACGGGTGAATGCAATATTAGGAGAGGATTTTGGTAGGGGACATTGGAAGGGAGAATGACATGAAGACTTGCAACAACCTGGGGAGAGGAAAAATATGGCAATACAATGCATGCAATTTAGCAATTAGCACTTTCCTTCATGAAAATACATACAGGGAGTGCAGAATTATTAGGCAAATGAGTATTTTGACCACATCATCCTCTTTATGCATGTTGTCTTACTCCAAGCTGTATAGGCTCGAAAGCCTACTACCAATTAAGCATATTAGGTGATGTGCATCTCTGTAATGGGAAGGGGTGTGGTCTAATGACATCAACACCCTATATCAGGTGTGCATAATTATTAGGCAACTTCCTTTCCTTTGGCAAAATGGGTCAAAAGAAGGACTTGACAGGCTCAGAAAAGTCAAAAATAGTGAGATATCTTGCAGAGGGATGCAGCACTCTTAAAATTGCAAAGCTTCTGAAGCGTGATCATCGAACAATCAAGCGTTTCATTCAAAATAGTCAACAGGGTCGCAAGAAGCGTGTGGAAAAACCAAGGCGCAAAATAACTGCCCATGAACTGAGAAAAGTCAAGCGTGCAGCTGCCACGATGCCACTTGCCACCAGTTTGGCCATATTTCAGAGCTGCAACATCACTGGAGTGCCCAAAAGCACAAGGTGTGCAATACTCAGAGACATGGCCAAGGTAAGAAAGGCTGAAAGACGACCACCACTGAACAAGACACACAAGCTGAAACGTCAAGACTGGGCCAAGAAATATCTCAAGACTGATTTTTCTAAGGTTTTATGGACTGATGAAATGAGAGTGAGTCTTGATAGGCCAGATGGATGGGCCCGTGGCTGGATTGGTAAAGGGCAGAGAGCTCCAGTCCGACTCAGACGCCAGCAAGGTGGAGGTGGAGTACTGGTTTGGGCTGGTATCATCAAAGATGAGCATGTGGGGCCTTTTCGGGTTGAGGATGGAGTCAAGCTCAACTCCCAGTCCTACTGCCAGTTCCTGGAAGACACCTTCTTCAAGCAGTGGTACAGGAAGAAGTCTGCATCCTTCAAGAAAAACATGATTTTCATGCAGGACAATGCTCCATCACACGCGTCCAAGTACTCCACAGCGTGGCTGGCAAGAAAGGGTATAAAAGAAGAAAATCTAATGACATGGCCTCCTTGTTCACCTGATCTGAACCCCATTGAGAACCTGTGGTCCATCATCAAATGTGAGATTTACAAGGAGGGAAAACAGTACACCTCTCTGAACAGTGTCTGGGAGGCTGTGGTTGCTGCTGCACGCAATGTTGATGGTGAACAGATCAAAACACTGACAGAATCCATGGATGGCAGGCTTTTGAGTGTCCTTGCAAAGAAAGGTGGCTATATTGGTCACTGATTTGTTTTTGTTTTGTTTTTGAATGTCAGAAATGTATATTTGTGAATGTTGAGATGTTATATTGGTTTCACTGGTAATAATAAATAATTGAAATGGGTATATATTTGTTTTTTGTTAAGTTGCCTAATAATTATGCACAGTAATAGTCACCTGCACACACAGATATCCCCCTAACATAGCTATAACTAAAAACAAACTAAAAACTACTTCCAAAAATATTCAGCTTTGATATTAATGAGTTTTTTGGGTTCATTGAGAACATGGTTGTTCAATAATAAAATTAATCCTCAAAAATACAACTTGCCTAATAATTCTGCACTCCCTGTAAATGAAACAACTAAGCAAGGTAATAGAGATTGTTGGGGGTGCAGCTTCTGATAACTCGTAGCACAGCTACAGTTAAAAACTGCAATAATTACACTTGCAGGGTTAAGGGGGATGGTAGTTGGCACCCAGATCACTTCAATGGGCTGAAGTGCTTTGGGTGCCTACAGTGTCCCTTTAATGTCTTGCTGACAAGGTTGTAGATCATGTCTATGTGATTACAAAAAAGGTACATCACAAGTCAGATTGCTAACTTGTGCTCTAAACCAATGTTAGACTGGATGTTATGATAAAAGAAACGTCTTTTCCAGAAAGACCAGGACTCCACAAAGACTATTTTGCTTGGTGGAACCTGTTTTGGTCTGGGGAGGGTCTCCATGCGGAAGCGAGTGCTGCAGGTTTAGGAACTTAAGTTGTTTTTTTTCTTTTTTTTAAATTTAAAGGACCACTAAAGTAACCCGAACACTTAATCTCAATGAAGTGGTCTGGGTGCAGTGGCCCTGTAGTTTTAAACCCTAGTAGTCCCTAATTTGTCTTGGTATATATCTTGACTGGTTTGTAATGGCAGTGAAACTCCAACACAGTCAATATGAGTATTTCATAAAGATTCTAATTTTCTAGAGAGGATGACAGTGCCGCTTTAAGCTGTAGTGGTTCTAGTGATTATAGTGTCCCTTTGAGGACATTTGTGCAAGCAACATCTCTAGGTGTTTTATTACCACCAGGAACAGAAGTTACATTGAAACATACTGAGCAGAGTTAACATGGGGTCATTTGTATGATAATGTATATTGTCACTTCAATAGATTTAAACATTTGTTTCTTCAGAACTCATTAACTCAATTCACTGTGAACTAGTTGGACATGCAATTACCATTTTGGAGAAGGTGTTTCAGAATAGACTGAGATCCCAAACTTTTTCTTCACATATTTTTCTTTAGATGCTTTTTCTAGTCTTTTCATTGAAGTTTATTCACTTACCCCCTTATTGTGGAGAATTGTATAGGTTAAAAGTATCCAAGTTGTAAAGCCAGCCGATTTGGAAATTTGGGCTTTAAGCCTGAGTCCATATCTTTTTTTCATATTTTTTTTTTTTTTTTTGCTCCTAAATAAGCCTTATTTTTTTTCCTCTTTAACTTTGTTTTGTATACATAGTCAGACATACAAAACTTGATTAGATTGTTTGAAAACAGTCAAATTAAATTTTATTAAAATGTCTAAATTGCAACCATATTAGCATTCTCATTTAAAGGAACACTATAGTCATCAGAACAAATGCAGCTTAATGTTGTTGTTCTGGTGCCTACAGCCTGTCTCTGCAGACTTAATAATATAAACAGTGCCTTTTCATAAAAAAGGCAGTGTTTACATTACCCCACTAGTGGTAGTCACTTAGACAGCCACTGGAGGTGCTTCCTAGTCCAGTGCTGCAAAGTGTTCAGTACTGACATTCACTCTGCAAGGAGATGTTGAACGCTCCCCACATAGATGCATTGATATGATGTATCTCATGAGGATATGCTGACTGGCACAGTGCTGCGTACATAGAATAGCCTTCCAATGATTTCCTATGGGAAAGCATTAGAGTGGCTGAGATCATCAACTTTGACAACCTCAGCAACGGCAAGATCAGTGCAGTGCTTGAAAGTAGGTAAGTAAAATACCTTTTTAAAGGGAGGCAAGAAGGGCCAGTAACGTAATTGTGTTTTTACCTCTATAGTGTCAGAAATACGTCTGTACTCTTGACACAATCATGTTTTTTTTTTTTTTTAAACTAAAGGCAAGTCTGGTTGGATTCAGTATTTCAATTTAATTTGAAATTATCCTGTGTATGCTTTAATATAAATGACTTTTACTTGTAAATCCTATATAAAATATAGACTTTAAATATTTATAAAACTATTTGTTTATGCCTAATAAACTGCATTCCACCTGACCATGGGAAATTTACTGATTATTTTCTTCTCCATTTTGCAGATGAATTTACAAAAAAATCACATTTGCTCATGCAACACACATAATATACTTAAGTTAATCAAATCTATGCATATCAAAGTTGATGTGTTTTAATTATTGGGGCATTATGGATCTCTCTAGCAGGGTTATTAACTAAAGCCCAAAGGCCCTTGGTCATGATTTGGAAAAGAGCACCCACAGCTGTCTAGGGGCATTTGGACACCATACCTGAACATTATTCACACTATTTCACAGTATTTAACTTGTTCAATACCAGCTCCAAATAAATAAAAAAATGTGTCCAGATTTTGTCCTGTCTGGATGTGACTGAATGGCTAAAATCTTGATCTGAATTAAATTCTGGGTTCTTATATGATGGAGCTCTGAAACTCCGACTTGCTACCTGTGCCAGGTCAGCTTCCTAGCTGCTCTTAGTGACCCTGGAGCCCTTCAGACTCAGTCGCCAAAGTTCGACTAGGGTCGCTGAGAACCTCTTCCACCAAAGTTTATATTTCATGAGACCTTTCCTCCTGTAGAGCAGTGATTAAAGATGAATGTAGGGGATGGAATGAATCTTTATTGCATGCACACAGGTATTTATATATAACAATGTTGACATTCCCTAAAGGGGGTCTTTTATACTATAGAATCTATTATTCAATAGTCTCTTCCCGGCTCCACTCAGTCTGGGGATTAATCACATTATCTCTACCTTCTCAATCAGTTCCCTGTTGTGCTCTCATAGCCCTAAAGGTACAACATTCAAAATGTACACCAGAACCATCTTTTCCCTGGGCCGTACCAGCAATATATATCCCTGGAAAGCTTGCCACCGAACACCCTCACTGTCCAAATAGCGCTCTTATTGTAGAATCTGCACCTAATATACAACATTTTACTGTGTTGCAGCTATTCTCTGATCCAGCAATAAGTTCCAGGCACGTGGTGGCTTAGTCCTGGTCTTCAAAAAGGGGTTCCTGGACTTCAGGGGAGGAGAGCGCTCTCAAGCTTCAGATATCCTCTGATGTCTCTCCGACCTCCCCACCAAATAAAGATTGACCGGACCTCGGCACAGTCCCAATCTGAGGAACAGTTCCAGGATATCTCCAGGTCGTAAGATCGAGGTGTAAAATGAGACCAGGTGATCCCCAGAAATCTGAGTGGGAAGCGTAGCACACATCCGGGGCCCCCACAGTTACAATAACCCCTTTTCATGCCGCTCCAGAAAGCCGCTGCACAGGAGCTTCTGTCACATCTAATTTAACCCCTTAAGGACACATGACGTGTGACATGTCACAATTCCCTTTTATTCCAGATGTTTGGTCCTTAAGGGGTTAAAGGAATTCTATAATGTAAGGAATACAAAATAGCATTCCTTACATTATAGTTCTAAAATCCTATTAACACCTGATTCCCGGGGCAGTCTCCTTTGGCGATGGATTGCCACTCCTCCTTTGACTTAATTTGACAGGGAGGTGAGCATTGCTTCAATGTTTTCTCTGAGGATTTTACTGAGGGCGGATGTCCGCATACAAACAATGCATGAGGACGCATTCGTCCAATGTGGACCGGGGAGTAGGAGCGCAGCTACTCTGTGTCGGAGGATAGAGAGCGGGAAGAGCAGCCATCTCCCCCCAGCTTCTTCTGCAACAGGCCGCAGCACGGTATCTCTGGCTCCCGGTGGAATTAAAGCATGGTGGAAGTCTCCTTCGGTGAGTCCGGAAGCCCCCGATCAATGCAGCCCAGTTAAGTAGTAGAACTAGCTCTTATTTCACCATGGGTACCCCTGGTTTGGCGACAGAGTCAGGAGCTCGAGTAACACATGTCTGTTCAGCCTGTCAGACTCCGCCCCCTAAGCTTTATTTAACTTTATTCTGGTTATTCCAGTGGTACTTGGTGTCTGCTGTTTACTCCTCTTATGGATCTTCTTGTGAACCCTGCCATTGTGTAGTATTAGCATGTTGCCATAGTAACCAGCAAAAATGTGTTGTGGGCTTGCGAGAGAGAGGGCCCAGCAGAGGCATTGGGAGACTCCTGGGTTCCAACCCTGCCATATAAGCTTGAAACCTGTGCATATATATAGAGAGAGATACTTGCTATACATACAGTTGTAATATGGGGCCTGGTCCACTTACATGTGTATGGCCTTTAACCACCTGTTGGAAGAACTCCTAATACTTTTTTTGCGAGAAATTGCACATACTGACACACAATTTTATAAATGTATTTAAAATTTGCTGCGCTGAAAAAAATTCAATTTTACTGAATAAGAATATATCCTGCCAGTAATAATGCTATCCCCCTAGATTTGGGGGTTTACCTATGCCCATGTTTCTCTTGCAAATATAAAGCAAAAATGAAGGAACACTCAGAGGTAACAAATGGAATAGCACATTAAGTGCAAGCAACAAATCTGTTGGAATGCAGGGAAATAAGTAGGAGGAGCTGCAAACAAGATAACTGTACATGTATTGTATGTTCCTTAAGCTTCTGTGCATTACATTACGTATGTGTTCTGACAACAGCTGCCAACATATATCAGCAATTATTACAATATCTGACCACCCCCCGGGTTAGCCCCCCCATTTTGAGAATTTCAACAAAAGATTATTCCAGTTGTTAGATCTTTGTTAATTCAGGTTTGATCAACAATTTTTTTTGTTAGATCTACTCTAAAATATGCGATATTAACAATCATTTTCAGGGGGGGCTAACCCGTAGCCAGCCCCCCCTCAACAAAAATTTGTACAAAATGTTGTTGATTATGATAGCTATACATTAGATCGGGTTTGATCAGGCAAAATTTTTGTTATATCTAGTCTAATTACTGAGATATTGCATATATAATTAGGGGGGGCTGGCCCCCCCCCTCAACTGAAATTTGGACAAAATGTTACTAATTTTGGTATATATTTGTTAGATCAGGTTTGATCAACTGTTTTTTTCGTTAGATCTATCATGCAAGAGGCGATATTCACTACTTAACTTTGTGGGCGTGATTACGGGTTAGCCCCCCTCAACTGAAATTTTTGTTTTTTAAAGTTGATTTTGGTAGATATTCGTTAGATCAGGTAAGATCAACAGTTTTTTTCGTTAGATCTATCACACAAAAGGCGGTATACACTACTTAACTTTGTGGGCGTGACTACAGGTTTGCCCACCTTCAACTGAAATTTTAATTTTTTTTTTATTGATTTTAGTAGATATTCGTTAGACCAAGTAAGATCAACTGTTTTTTTTCGTTAGATCTTTCACGCAAGAGGCGGTATTCACAATCCTATTTTGTATGCAGGGGAGAGGTGAGTACGTTAGCCCTCCCTCAACTGGAATTTTAAATTAATTTTTTTCTAGATATACTTTATTCTTTTAAATTACTTTTTGGTTCACATTTATGTGCAGTAACATAAAGTCAAGGCAGCATTGGCATCCAGGGTAACAATATCGAATGTGACGGCAGATAAGAACCATTCAGCCCATCTAGTCTGCCAAATTTTCTAAATACTTTCATTAGTCCCTAGTCTTATCTTATAGTTAGGATAGCCTTATGCCTATCCCACACATGCTTAATAGAATGTACAAGCGCAATTGCAAAATCGTGATGTCCATAGCTTACTAACTGATAACGCTTTACATCCAGTTACATTTTATGAATTCAAAGGTAGAAAGGGTGAAGAAAGTGGAGAAGGGTGTAAAGTGTGAGGAGCAGGGGGTGGATATACTTTAAACCAGGTATGATCAACTGTTTTCTTCATAAGATCTATCATTCAAGTTGTGGTATTCACAATCTTATTTTAATTTTGCACATAAATACCAGTGAATTTTCAAATCAAGCCACAGGTGACATCATAATTTAGAAATTTGCATGGATTTTGCTAACACAATGTGTAGATAATTTTCCATATTTTTTTTTATTCTCTACATGCACAGTATTGAGATGATAAAGTCCAGCAT